TTATAATCTGTTGTCCTAGCTTATATAACAATGCTGCATCATGCCAGAGATAGATATTTATTTTCGCTGTAATTCTGATCACATGTTTATATTCCACTGTTAACTTAAATCGTTCATAACTCTGATAACATATTCATATTCCGCTATTATAAATAATAAATATTATACTCTGATGTTACATGGAAAGGGTCATAAGAAATGGCTAAAATGTTATAAGCTTTATTCTCTTATTTGTGATCCTGAGGGAAAAATGTGGATTTTCGGGTTCTCCCTTGGAGTGTGATCGACGGAACTGCGTAATTTGATGTCCTCCCTTGAGTACTTAGTGTCTAATAGAAGACAAGTACTTCTGGGAGGCATTAGATTAGACAGTTCTATCACAGCCGGTAGCCATGGCCTACTGGTGGGAACTGCAGTAGTCAGCAAGCGGCGCCCGGGTGCAGTGGAGAGGGAGAATGAAGGCAGGCAAGCGTCTGGGCATGGTGAAGAACGCCGTGCCGGAGCAATCGCCGTGGACCACGCCGCGTCGGCTCCAAGAACTCAGTGGCGAGTAGTGAGTGCCGGTGGGGAGACAGGAAAGCAGACAATGGGGCTCGGGCGTGGTGTAGCACGCCGGCAGCGCGGTCGCGGTGGAGCAAGCCACGGCGGGCGCGGAGAGATGGTTCGAGAATGGATGGGGAAACAGCGACGATTCGAGAAGAAGGTAAGAGCGGCGAATTTTTTATTTTTATTTCCGTGCGAATGATAGTGGTGCCTGTTGGGCCGTTCGGGCGTCGAGGCCCACTAATGCGCGTCCGGACGAAACGAACGCCTTACTCACAGCATTACATTATCATGAGTGGAGGGCGTGTACTGCTCCTCTCCTTCAGCGCAACGAGAACCCAGCACAACCAATTCATAAGCTGCCTTGTTACATTCTCTATACTAGAAGACACAATTAAAACTTATGACATTTAAGGCCGTTAAAGACTTGAGTTCCTCGATCAGGTTCCCCACCACCATTCCAGCGTAGTTGTCGGTCTTGATCGCTTGCACCACCATCAGAGTGAAATCTATACCTAATATTGAACCATGACAAGTTTTTTAATTTTGGTCCTTGTTTTGCTTTTTTTTTCCCAAGAACGTTGAGTCCCTGTGCCTCAGGAAGAAGAGTTGAGTCCTTGTCGGTCACACTTTTTTTTTTCATGATTTCCTTTTCTATTTGAATGTTTTTTTCATGTCTTTTTTCAATTTCTTTCTTTCTTTTTCTCCGGTTCTAGTTAGGTTCAGTTACGTCTTCTTTTTCCATTCTGTTTTCTTTATTTTTCACAATCAACTAAATGTGTTTCCATTCCATTAATTTTATTATTCATGTTTAACTAAATGAGCTGGATAAATATAATACTGATGGGGATGAATCAAATGAGCTGGATAAATATATTGCAGATCCAAATGTGAGATGTAGTGGTCAGTTTGATATCTTGGCATGGTGGAAGAACCAGATTCAAGAATTTCCTATTCTCTCATAAATAACGCGTGATTTGATGGCTGTTCAAGTCTCAACCGTTGCTTCTGAATCTGCATTCAGTGTTGGCGGCTGTGTAATTGACCCTTTTCACAGCCGTCTTGACCCTGAGATAGTTGAAGCTTTGATTTGCTTGAAGGATTGGGTGCATGCATAAGAAGAGGTAAGAAAGCATCCTTTTTTTTTTGTTTCACCTCCATAAAACTCCTCATTTGCTGATTTTTTATGTCTTCTTTTGTCAGATAAGAAAGTTGGTTCCATTGTTGGTGATCTGAAAGTTATTGAGACCATTGCATAAAAATTTAGAGGTATGACTTTCACAGTGCTTGTTCAACACATTTGCCATTATCTAATTCTCCCACAACTTATTCTAATGTTTAACCAATAAATGAACCATTGTCATTTGAGAGAATTCCTTATTTGACATCAGACAAATGACTCGTTCTTTTCTTGGCCCTCAAAAAATTTATGTTCCCTATTTAACACCAAGTTCAACTTTCATTCATTATACGACACTCCGTTGGATTTTCCATCCGTGAACCGTTAACTGCCATGTGAAAAGACGATTTTGCTCATGTGGGCCCCACCACCCTTCTCCCTCCTCTCCTCCCTTTCTCCCGACGTGTCCACACCCGTATAAGGTCCCTCTCTCTCTCTCGGTGTCGATGGCAGACGCAAGGGCGACCTCAGAGGACGCGGACCCAGAAGAGGGCCGCACGGCTCGAGGTCCATCACCGCCGGGGCTTCTCGGCGCCGTCTGCTCGCTGCTGGCATTGCAGGCGTCTGCCATGCCAGAGGAGCCGCCGTGGTTGCCGTCGATCGGCTCGCTGCGAAGGCGGGGCCCGCCGTTTGCTTGGCCGCTGGCATCCGCGTCGGCATCCGCCGGAGGTGGCCGAGATGGCCTCGTCGGCCGCTGCGTCGAAGGCGCCGCTATGGACGCGTGCTCTCCAGATCCGGCACTCACGCACTTCCCTAGGGCGACCACGGCCGCGGATGCGGTGGCCACGGCGGCGGGGACGGGGACGGGGAGGAGACTCGCGACGAGGCAACAGCGGAGAGGTTGAGGGAGGTGGAGGGGAAGGGAGGGAGGGGCGCCGGTGCTGGCCAGCGCCGCCGCACGGCAGCGGCGTTGGGGAGATCGGGGCCGCCGGGCTAGGGTTGGCCACCTCGGTCCGTTCGTCGTGAAACTGCGAGCTGGCTTCAGCGGGAACGGTGGGGGAGTTGGAGGGGGAGGGGGAGAAGGGGAGGAGAGGAGGGAGAAGGGTGGTGGGGCCCACAGGGATAAAATCGTCTTTTCACATGGCAGTTAACGGTTCACGGATGAAAAATCCAACGGAATGTCGTATAAGGAATGAAAGTTGAACTCGGTGTTAAATAGAGAACAAATTTTTTTGAGGACTAAGAAAGGAACGGATCATTTATCTGGTGTCAAATAAGGAATTCTCTCTCGCCATTTCCCTTGTTGTAGGATGATGAAGTTGCTGACAACGATGAAAAGGTGGAGGGGCGCAACGCAAGAGACCTGGCTGGACTACAGCTTTGACTAGGCTGTCAAGTGTTGTCTTGTGATGTTGTCTTCTGGCTTCACCGAGAAAGAATGAGATGGAGCAGAAGTGCTCGACTGCGGGCTATTTTCTTATTAGCATTTGCTATCCCCAATTTGGATTAGACTTTGGTTGTTTACTTGTTTGCCTGTGCGACAAGAACTGGAACTTGTTAGTTATTTGGAACTGTTAAGTGTTATTTAATATTTTCAGTATGACCAGTAAGCTATTGTTATGTCCATCTGTAATGGACCTTTTTTTTTATTATTAACGTGATTATTGAATCTGCTGTGACGAGCTACACATGGGGGTGTTTTGTTCTTTAGTCGCTCCATAAAATTCATGTCACATCGAATATATAGATACTAATAAAAAACATTAAATATAGATTAATTATAAAACCAATTACATAGATGAAGGCTAATTTGCGAGACGATTTTTTAAACCTAATTAATCTGTCATTAGCACATATTTACTGTAACACTACGTTGTCAAATCATGAACTAATTAGGCTTAAAAGATTTGTTTCATAAATTAGTCGTAAGTTGTGTAATTAGTTTTGTAATTAGTTTATATTTAATACTCCATGCATGTATCTAAACATTTGATGTGACATGAATTTTATGAGCGTACGTAGAAAGCAAACAGGGCTTAAAATGGTTACATGAGTCAATGTTCCTGATTTAATTTTTCCGATCGTTATGGACGTGAATCCGATCGCACTATATCGTTCCCGACATCCTGAATATCTCGCTTTCGTTTTCCGACCGAGTATTCCCGGTTCCAATTTCATTTTAATATAAAAAATATGAAATAAAAGATGGTTAGAGGATTTTCCAGACCGTCCCAACCGTTTTCATCCTGCACTCCCTTTATAAAAAGTGCAATCATCCCCTTTTAATGAATCAAATAGTAATTTTAAATTTAACTAAATCTATAAAAAACAAACTTTTATAATATCAAATAGATATTATTAGATTAATCATATAATGTATTTTAATAGTTAAATTATATAAAGATATAAATATTAATACTATTTTATTAAAATTTAGTTAAATTTAAAAGTATTAACTAGGTTTAAATATAGAATTATATATTTTTTAGATAGACGGAGGGGACGTAGGTGCAAATTCGACGCGGGTCCATCCCACTCGCACTCGGAGTTGGGACGAGACGTGTCCATGTCGCTCGGCCATCCGTGCCTGTGCCTCCGTCACCGTGGACTCGTGGAGGCCTCGACCAGTCGACCGTGACCGAGCCAGCGCCGGCAACTATTCTCTCTCCTCCCTCCTTCCCCTCCCTCCTCCCTCCGCTGTGCAGGAGCACCACCACCCGTTCCGGCCTCCGTTCCTGCAGCAGGCCCGGCAGTGTAGAGAAGAACTGCCGTGACGGAGGGGAGAGAAGCCGGCGGCGCCCAGCGAAGTCGCCCCCGCGTCCTCCTCTGTCGTCGGCTACTGCCCATACCCGGCCCTCGTCATCGTCGGCGTTCAGATCTGGTCTTCCTTTGCCAAGGTAGACCCTAGCAACTCTAGTATTTGATTTCCCATTATCCGATATACGTATGATGTTGTTTGCATGAGATGGTATTGCTTGTCAATTGGATCACAATAGATACATTTTTGTCAAGTTTGGCGTACCAACAGACTCAAATTGTTAATGTTCCTTCCCATAAAGGTAGGACTGGGATATATTTCACTTGGGATCGGGCACTGCAATAATGCAATTCTCACTGACAATAATGTTTATTTTGAGGTAGCGTTTAAATGTTGGAATTTTCTAATGTTTGGATCCATCTAAATGATCAGTAAATGAAATTTCAGCCTCAGTGCTAAACCGCAGCTTATCCTTATCTTACTGCTGCACACTTCTGGAACTGAGAGAATTTTGTTGGGTTGAGGGGGGCTGAGGCGCAAGGCTGGTTGACAGGAGGAGGGGGAGGAGAGCCGTCGAAGATGATACTGCTCCAGTCCCCATCGAGGTTCCTGCTCCAGATCCTGCAAGACCGTGTTCTCAGGTATGTCGCTCGCTGCCACCTTGCTTTCGCTTAGATAGAACAGAACCACATCTTGCTTCTGGTGGCATGGTTTTTTGCATTAATCTCATTTAATTTCATTTCATGCGATGTCGGTGCGATGCAGCGGTGAGAAGGGCATGGACATCGACTGTCACACGGTAGAGTTCGATGATGTCCGGTATCATATCCAGGTGAGTTCTATCGCATAAATTTGCGTCCAAAGCAGTGGCCACTGTGCCAAGTCTCGGCAACAAATGGATGATATACTTACACCACCATGGTGGCAATGGCTTGACAGATTTTGGCATCAATCCTAATCAGTGTCAAAATCTTAGGGTAGCTAACTTTTGGCGAGGTTGGTTTTGGTACAAATTAAACAGTTGATCCTAAGGTGGCTATCTACTCAATGTTTCAGTCCAAAAAATATATACAGTTTGCAGTGTTAATCCTGCAGAATATAACAACAATCAGTAGTTAATTGGTCTACTCTTCCCAGTTTGGTATGTTCCATTTGATAGCATTTCCCTTTTAACCTCGAATTACCTATTTGCTCACAACAACAGTAACAACAAGAGCAGTGAATAAAATGCTGTCACCTTCTTACTTATTGAGTTTTCCATATACTGAATGGTTGCCATAACACTACATACTAACCGTATAATTAGTCACAAGCACTTAGTGGTGCAAGTAAAGGTTTCGTCTGCCTTTCGTAATATAACAAATATGGACTTGCTAGTGTTTGAGCATTGCTATTTCAGCTGAAAGTGTGTTCAAATTTATAGGTTGATATTGTTCTACTTTAAGCAGGTTTTCATCTAATTTTCAAGTTCTTGGGTGTGGAAGCTGCATTTTCTTATTTTCTGAAATGAATATGGACATCACTCTGTCATGTACACACTAGACATTAGGATTATCACCTGTCTGATGCTCAATATCACAATTCTAATGAATCTGGGCTTTGGTTTCAGTTTTCTATGAGGAATCCAAAGGTAATGGTGTTGTCAGTTGCTTTGCCTCTGCCACCTCCTGAAGCGATTCTGTATGAGGGGCTTCCACTTGGTGCCATTGAAGCTATAAAAGCAGCTTATGGGCCAGTTGTGCAGATTCTTGATCCTCCAAAGGATGGGTTTGATCTCACAATGAAGATAAGTTTGACAAAACTTCCGCTAGATGAAGGTTCTAGAGTTCCCTTCTCAAGGTTATTAATTGTCTTGTTGTGCTGCATGATCAAATTGATTGATGCTTCCTTGTATCTTTAAGTTTCTCTGCTAGTAGATTTCAATGTAGTGTAACATTTCCAAGGTTATAGCTGTCTTGCCGAACAACATGTTCAAACTTGCTGATGGTTTGTGTATCTTTAGATGCTATTCGTTGGGTAAAATTTCATTACTAGTTAGGCCTTGTTTGGATACTCTCGTATTCATCTCAGTCCACATGTGTTGAGGTGGATTGGGGGTGTAAATTAGTTTAAGTTCCACCCCAATACAGCCCAACACATGTGGATTGAGGTAGATACAAGCGTATCCAAACAAGACCTTAGTTGGAAACATCTTCCTCTGTATATGAGTAGATGCTTCTGATGTCATGCGAATGTACGATGCGGTTAGTTGTCTAAGATTTGCATTGATTTAAGTATCCTTTGACTAGAGTAAGTAACTGTTACCTCAAAGAAAAAAAGGTAACAAAGAGCTCTAGATAGGTCTATTCAGTTTGTTCTTTACATTTTTTTACAGATGCTTGTTTTATTTAATGTTGATTGCATCTTTCAATTTGTTGCACAATGCCATCCCAATTATCTTAACATTTTTTGCTCATCAATTGTTATTCTTAATTTATCATTGCAGTTAAACTAAAATATTTTTCTGTTTATTGGAATAAAACTGGCTTTGCACTGCTGAAGTATTGTGGTGTTTTTCCAGGCCATCATAATAGGTTTATCGATGTCCATTTCGTTACATTTATTTGATGATGATGTGGGAGTTTTTATATTTCTATTTTTCATCCATCACATTTACATTTAGGCGCTTGTATTTCTCTTCAGAATGTAGAATTCGGTCAGTGAGTACTTGATCTGTGGTGCTTCCGTTTATGATAAGCCTACCAAAGCCATAGACATCTCCTGAAATGTGATCATTTTTCTATTTAAGTCATGTTCTCTGTATTTGTAGCCTCTAACCATTTGTTTATTTACTATATTCCAGAGCAAAGGAATGCTATCTTGACACAAATTGCATCTATTAGAGAGGTGGTGCTGGGTGCACCACTGAAGCTCCTGCTGAAACATTTAGCCTCAAAGACAGTTGCGCCTAATGTTGACAAGCTTGTTGCTCTTGTTCACCGGCCTAATGAATCCTTTTTCCTTGCTCCCCAGGTATAACTTTAGGAACAGCAATATCACATTATCACTTAAGTGTGCTGTACTAATTTTATTGTGTGCAACAAATGGGATTCACTGTTGTTTTTTCAGGCAGATAAAGTTACTATTGTGTACCCAATGAGATTCCAGGACTCCATTGATATTGTTTTAGCAACTTCCTTCCTGCAGGTATTTTGGATGCTTCCTTTTATTTCTTTCATCAGCTTCCTGGCCTAGTGTTCTTCATGGTCTTTTGTCTTTCATGGTTATCGTATCAACTACATTTGACACTAAAGAACAATTTAACCTATCATAATGCTACAATTCATACTGCAATGTATACATGCAGCAACCCATCAATTAAGGAGTTTTCCAAGCCCAAATAGAACTCTTACTTTCTGTTGGGCACTTCTGTAGTTCACTAGTTCTGTATCTGTTGGCTGTAGCTCCAAAAGACCAGTCCTACTCAGCCTTGGGTAAGACTCAATTGATGGGAGCATTGCTTACTCTTTTTCTTCTTCTCGTTTAAATTTAGGAATTTGTGGAGGCAAGACGAACGGCTGCACTTAATAATGTTCCTTCTTGTATGTGGTCTCCGGCACCACCTCTTGAGTTAAAAGGAGTATCTGCTGATGCACTAAATGCAAATGCTGGCTTTGTTACTTTCGGTAATTTTCACTTTTCCTAGTATACCTTGTTCCTCCATGAAACTATTTTGCCTCACAGACTTTTGATTTGTGCAGTTGTTTACCCTCGGCATGTTGAGGGTAGAAAGCTAGATAGAACAGTTTGGAATTTGTTGACATTTCATGCTTATGTAAGCTATCATGTAAAGGTAAGACCCTTTAATGTGTCATTTGGTTATATAGAATTACTGAGTTACTACCAGCAGCTTCCCTTGAATATCTGGGAATTTACTAGTCATGGTGAATCGGAATATTTCATATGAATGACTGGAACTGAAAATTGATTTGTTTGCTTCAAATGACATTATTGTGGCCTATTCCAAGTAATATGTGACACTCTTCTTTCCATGCCTCGAATCTACCCAAAGAAACACACAACACTGTCTCTTGATAATGATTGTGCCATATATGAAAATACAAATTTTCAAAATAAGTCCTGGGATTTGAGCAAATAATCTGGAAAAAAGTTGTTTCAGATGGGGGCAGAGAGGAAATTTTGGGGGCAGTGTATTTTCACAGCGTACACTTCATCTTCTGAGTCAGAACAATAGAACCAAAGGACTCTTCTTTGATCCCGTATTACCTGCGGGCTTGAGTGGTGATACAACCTACTTCTGGATCAATCTGTAATTGCAGATGGCTATCTTGGGAGAAATTGGGAATAGTTTCCTTAACCATACCTAGCAGTCTCAATGTTTGAACAGCACTCTATTTGGGAACATCTGATATTTGTGTTGCTTGTGCATTGTGTTGGTTCTCGGCTGCTTACCAGTAAGCATTCAATACTGTGCATCTCGAGTACCATTGGCTCATACTCCCTCCGTCCCCAAAAGAATGCAATTCTAGAACAGTGTCATGTTTAGTATATCAAGTTTGACCAATTATAGATAAAAAGTATAAATATTTATAATATAAAATAAATATCATTAGATTAATTATGAAATATATTTTCATAATAAATTGATTTTGAGCCATAAATGTGAATACTATTTATTAGAACTTGTTATTAGATTTACACTAAGCCGTTACTTATAATTTTGCAAGTTCTCAATTGCTATGGTTTCCTGTATCAGTGTTCTGAAGGATTCATGCATACCAGGATGAGGCGCAGGGTTGAGTCACTGATCCAGGTAGACTTAAAATATTCTTTTGTTGGATCAGGTCATTCTAGAGATCTTGTACTTCCTATGGTCGTAAATATAAGTGCATCTATGCTTGTATTTTAGCTTTGACCATCAATATCTAAATTCGGTAAAGAGTGATAACACAAGATTGAACATAATAGATTCATTGTGGTTGTCATAATATATAACTTTTTTCATTTAAGATACTCCCTTGAAATATAAGGTATCCTAGGAATTCTAGGACAAATTGTGAGATAAAGTAAATGGCGCATGTAACCCTCCTTTAATTGTAGAGAGATATTGTGATTACCATATGAGTTGGTTATGGACATTAATGCTGCCTTTAATATATTTTATAAATATTCCTAGTCAAAGTTAAAAAAAAGTTTGACCTAGGACAAACTTAGATAGACTTATATTTGTGATTGGAGGAAGTAAATACTTCAATATCTCCACTAACCTCAAATTGTTCATTCATAAATCATAAGTCTTAGTATCCTTTCAGGATGAGTTGTTTTAGCAACAGGTGCTACTTGCTAGTTTAATGTAAGCATACGATGGTGGTCTGATGGAAGCTACTCATCGGGCAGGAGTCATAAGGGATAGCAGAAATTCAGTATCGTCTAATGGATGGATACAATGATCTGAAACAAAATGTCTAGGAAATAACATAATATGAAAGAAACTAAGGGGCCGTTTGGAACCCTTCATTTTAGAGGAATTGAAATCTACTTAATGGATTAGACTATTTGGCTTAGAATTTGACATTCCATAACTTTTCTAAGCTCACAAATAAGCCTATTTCAAATTCATAGGGTGGGAGATGGAAATGAATTCTATAAATCACTATGCTATAATTCTACTTTTCAACTTATAGCACATTCTTTAACTCACTTCCCTACGATAGAAATGCAACATATAAGTATGTACCTTGTATGTCTAACAATAAATATACAAATATATTCTATATACAACTATATTAGCTTAATTAATCTATGTCTAAATGATCCAAACGGGTCCTAATTGAAATCCTGATTGCTATTGCACCATGCAATGTTTTCCTGACCTGCTTTGTACTGCAGGCGTTGGACCGAGCGAAGTCTGATGCAGAGAAGCTGAAGAAGTTGGTACACGGTGGATCTTTCAAAAGGCTGGTTTGTACTTCATGCAAATAGCTATCGTTTATGTATTATCTTATCAATCATTGATTCATACCATCCTCGCAGAGCCTGACGAATGAGGGCGACTCGCGTTTCTGAAGGGAATTGACAAATGATGTTGTTTGACTGTACCCGATGGATACACTCTGTACCATTTGGTTAATGACTTATGTTGTGGGAAGCTTACTTCCGATCAGTTTTGGGAGCAAAGGCTCGGAACCGGTTAAATCCATGGCATTGAATTTTAGTGTGACTAGCAAATATGTCCGTGCGTTGTACCGGGAGAAAATAAGTTATTCAATTTTCATGGAAGACGAGAACATAAATTTTACTGGTCTATCCGCTGATGATAATGACGGGATACCTCTCTCAGTTTTCTACCTCTCAGTTTTCTACGTTGCGGTACTCGTCGAGGGTTACATTGGTGCATTCACACAGTAGAGACACAAATTTGTTTAAACCGAACTAACAACAAACACCTCAAGATATTAGTTCGTGTTTAATTAGTTAGACCATCAGTTTAACCAGGTTCATATAAGACATGTTTTGTTTTTAATCAAAATTGTATCAATAACTTGACGTTAAAACTTATTTTCAATGAAAAATTAAAGGTTCAAAATGCCTTTATTTATTCTTTATTTTATATTTGTTTGTCGAAACGTGATGAAAAAGATAAAAAAATGTTAAAATTAAAACTACAATAATAGAAACGGATGAAGCCAATGGGCCAGAACCGACTCTTTGTGATTTTTAACATCTTCATTCAGGTTTTACTACAGCTTGTTGGACAACGCGTCCAGCCAAGACAGGGAGGGGGAAGGAGGTCCATTGCCTCAGCATCATCGCGGCCCACTTCGACGCTGTCCTCCACGAGGTGAGATCATCCCAAAAGCTGCGACCATACGGTGCCAAAACTAGTGAACTACGTGGGACTATTTCTTGTATGAGACAGGCACGGCGCGGCCGTCGTCGCTGCTGAAGCTCCCCGTCTGCTACGGCAAGGAGAGAGCCAGAGCCAGCACCTCATGAACTTAAGGTGGCGTTTGGTTGCTTGCATCAGGCCTCAGCCAGGCTCTGTGGATGCGAGATCAGACGTTTGTTTGGTTCGCGTATCTGTCGGGCCAGGCTCTACGCGTGCAAGGAACCTCCCTCACCCAGGCTCTGGAGGAACGCAGAAATCAGCTGTTTCTACCGGGCCAGGCTCGCATGGTGCGGGTAATTAGCCATCTAATGACATTATTAGTGCATTATTAGCACATATTAAATGATATTAACATATTTCGATTAATATTAATGAGTAATAAGATAAACTAAGAACTATAAGATAATAGTTGCTCATAATAAATGTCATGATGATGATTTATATATTTTTATCTCATGCAACCTGTCCTCATGCGAGCAATCAAACGCGATCTCAGAACAACCTGGCTCGTGCAAACAAGCAACGAAACACCACACTCTTGCATGCATTGGGCCTGGCTACTGGAAGCCAGGCTCCTCCCATGCGAGCCAGGTTGAGTTCATACGCGAACCTAACAGGCCGTAAGTGACACTGGCCTCTTGCGTTGTGTCGAGGATGAACTCATGCCGGTGGCCCAGCTCGAGGTATCCAACGACAAGCCCCATACAGGGCTGACCGCTGCATCCTCCGCGTCGGTTAGGAGTGGGAGCTCACTCAAGCAAGCGGTGTCTATCATATTTGACGATCATCAGGGACAGCAAGGGCGATGCGGTGATGCGGCGGTGGCAGGCATACTCGGCTGTCTCCGTAAGAGACCGGTTCCTGTGCTGGGTCGACTACCTACTCGGCTTCATCCTTTGCGACATGGCCGTGGACGACGCGAGCCTTAAGCTCTGGCCTCCGGTACGTGACACGCCGGTGCTGCCTCCCGACGAGGTGCACTGCTTCGAGTCTTCGACAGCCGCCGGCGCTGGCGATGTGAGGTTCGTCAACATCGAAGCCCGCTGCTGCGGCGGCGACCATGGTAGGAGCACGTGCGAACACGTCCGCTTCTTGTTCACCGTGACCACCTGGACCTGAGCCTCAGCGTGGACGAGCCTTTGGAGTTGGTGAAAGACGGCCTGCTCGACTGCGACGAGCTCTGGACGCTCTAGGCCTACGAGGGCCTGTCGCAGGTATCGTGGAGTTCCCAATCTTGAGCTTAGACAACCCTGACGTGATTGGTAAGAGGAGTTGATAAAAGCATCATTATCAAAGATAAACTATTTAGAAAAATATCAAAAATAGCAAATCCAGTTGATGATACAAAGTATAGTAGAACACAAAATTATGTGGTAAGATTAGAGGTTTTATTTTATTACATATTAATTTCCTATGGAAATTATGCCTCTTTATTATTATTATTATTATTATTATTATTATTATTATTATTATTATAAGGCAATAGATATATTTGTTTATAACTATCCAATTCTATTCAGTCTGGGAAGCCAATTCTATTTTGGAATGTGAAATTAAACTCAGATTTTGTATACTATTTTTGGTTTAACTAGATATATGCCCGTGCGTTGCAGAGGGGTCATAATTTTTTGACGACGATGCATGTGGCTTACGGCTTAGACGAATATACACGTAGGACACGCTTTTTGACGGAGGGGCGAGTGGGGCGATGAGCGGTGCAGACGATAACAATTCATATTTTTTTTATAGTAGAGAAGAGACAGAGATTTATCGACGAGGCATAAGAGGAGTCCCAACCCTAAAACTACAAGGCAATCTCTATAGTGTGGCCACGTCAACAAGAATCCGGCTCGCTAAACCGCGGGCCTGCTTGGTTCTGAGCGGACTGTGTGTGGCCTCACCTAGTTGCACCGATGTAGGTAGCGAGAAAATTTCCCGTTCGGACGAGTCGTTTTGGTTCTCCCTTCAGATCAAGCTAAACCTTGCTCGAACAATCCCAAAAAAGTTGAGCTGAGAACCAAATAGACATTCTTACTCGCTATCCTTGCTCGGTAAAGTGCCACAGTGCGTGGCGAAGGATCTAAGGAGACCCATCTCTCAACGCCCATAGTTTCTCTTGAGTCCCATAGCACTAATTGCTATCTATCAGTCATATTTTCTCTTCGCATCTTTTTCTGTCTCCTTCCGCGGTCTCGAGTTGGGTGCCAGCGACGTGCTTGCCAGGAACGACGGCCAACCGGAGGCCGAGCTGCATGCCTAAGTGCTTGCGAAGGGGGCGACATCGGCACGCGGCTGGGCTCTCCGCGAGCAGTGTGGCTGCGCGCGGCAGGGCTCTCTGCGACCAGCGTGGCTAGCTCAAGCTTGAGTGGCCGCGTCGACGTGGACCACCGAGCTCGCGAGCGTGAGCGCCCACGACGACGGTGGTTACAATTGCGTGCGCGGCCAGGTTCGTGGGCACAAGCTGCGACGGTGCCAGTGAGGACGCGAGTCAAGCAGTGGTTGTGGGGCGGCGAGACGCGACTGCAAATCAACCCAGCCTGTGCCGCACGAGCCGCGAGCAACGTCGTCATCACGAGCTCGAGCATCTGTGATGGCGCGGGGCACCCAGCTGTTGAGCCATTGAGCACGAGTGGCCATGATTGGGTTGCCGCGGCGGGGACGGCCGGTCTTGCGAGCGCATGGTGCAGCGGCGCCAGCGAGGATGCGCTTGAGGTGAGGTCGCGTGCGTGTGTACGCACGCACGTAAACGCAGCCGACGATGAGGTGTGGTCACCGAGATGCGGATGCCCGCTCGGAGGTGCGGCCGGCGGCAGTGCGAGGTCGCGTACAGGTCCTGTTGGCGCAAGGACAGCCCAGCGCGTGATCGACGACGACGACGGTGGTGACCACGGCGAGGTTTTAGTAGATAGAACACGAACTCAGAGAGATAAGATTTGGTGCTGCCAAGTTGCCGCAGCTTTTTGGTCTCTATTCATGCTCTTTATATATAGATGTAGATACACGCTTGGCCTTGATCTCCGAGCCTCCCCACGCCACACCGCGTACCGTGCGCGACGTTGTTTCACCGTGATGCGCGCCGCGTGCGCAATACTCGCTGTGGCGCGAACCAACTAGACCGACTAGGTTGGATCGTGATCTAGCACGCCACCGATCATGTCCACCCCTAACCTACTAACTGAAGCAAGATCTTAACCGAAACAAAGATTACAAGCGTGCCTATCAATTTAGCTAACATTTCTCCCCCTAAACTTGATGCACCTTGTCCACGCCGAGCGCTCTCCTCAGCTCCAGGAACCTGGCACGCCCCAAGGCCTTCGTGAAGATGTCTGCCAGCTGGTCTGCCGTGCCGATGTGATCCACCTCCACCTTGCCTTCTTCTATACACTCACGAATGAAGTGAAACTTGGTATCTATATGCTTACTTCGATCGTGGTGTACCGGGTTCTTGCTCAGGGCAATCGCTGACTTGTTATCCATGAGCAACTTCACCGACGCTTCTTTTGTTCCCAGCAAGTCTCCTATCAGTCGACTCAGCCAAACACCCTGACAGGCTGCTGCAGCTGCTGCCACATACTCTGCTTCACATGATGATAAGGCTACTATCTTTTGTTTTTGTGAAGTCCATGTGACAAGGTTACTCCCCAGGAAATACACAACTCCAGTAGTGCTCCTCCTGTCTTGAACATCCCCGGCGAAGTCACTGTCGCTGAACCCGAGCAAAAAGGGTTTCAGTTTAGTGTCTCTGTCATATTTGCAACCATAACCTGTGGTGCCTTTCAAGTACCTTAAAATTTGCTTCATAGCACCCCAATGAGCCTTTGTTGGAGCTTCCATGAACCTGCTAACAACACCCACCGAGAAGGCTAAATCTGGTCTAGTGTTGACAATATATCTCAGGCTTCCTATTATGCTTCTATAGGCTGTTGGCCTCACAACTTCATCCTCCATCCTCTTGCTTAGCTTGAGTCGTGCCTCCATTGGGGTTGCAGTAGGATTACAATTCAGCATCCCTGCATTTTCCAAGATCTTGACAGCATAAGCACTCTGACTCAATGTGATCCCATCATCCCCTTGCTTCACTTCAATACCCAAGTAATAGCTGAGAAGACCCAGATCACTCATGTTGAATTTTCTCATCATCTCTTGCTTGAATTGTCTGATATCACTGACACTCGGC